GCCCTGGGAGGTCCGCCATAGAAATCTATAGAAATACAACCCATAAAACATAAACATAATGAAGGACTGCTGGGTTACAGTCACATGACCCAGATGACAGATGAGGGGCAGGAAGTGATTTGCTCTGGTTCAAACACAGAAATGGATCACAGAGTATGCTGTCAGGGGCATTGGCCCCAGCTGAAATCTGATTGGCCCCCTGAAGTGCCCTGTCCTGTCACTCATCTGTCCTTTACCAGGGGTGATGATGACGGGTGCAGTTCCATGTTCAAACACTAGTGGCGCTGATGAGTCAAACTAAAGTCCAGGATGAATCAAGCTGACAGAAAATGTAAACAAAGCTGCAGAAAAGTCTCAACTGACAAATGATGTCTGGATTTCCTCACATGATGTGTTTGAGAATATTTTTTATCTCTGTTCAGTAAAATGTATGAAAAACTGGTGAGCATTTACTGTGCAAGGTTTTTAGTACCACTTTACAATAAGGCTCCCCTTATAAAGAGTTTATAGACAGGTTATTAATTAATCTGTAAACACTTTTAAATTATTAATGTTTATTTTGCAATTATTAAGGACGAGAAAGAGACAAACCTGTCCAGTTTCTTATCAAACAATGAGACTAAWCTGTCCACGTACATATTACATCTAAAGGTGTTTTTCAAACATTTCAGGCTGGGTTACTACACTGTAAGTACAATAATAATAAACATATTTTAACATATTAATATTATACTCATAAATATTCACAACTGTCAAATGGAGACTTATCATAAAGAGTAAAACACAGTACACTATTAATGAAAAGCATTTATAAATGCCAAAAGTTAGTTGTTAATGTAAAAAATCATTTTTGAAACTTATTGTTGATTATAAATATTTGAAATTATTGTTCAAACATGTAACAACTGTCAATGATGATGTATCAAAAAAGTAAAAATATATCATGTTAACCAAATAATCTCACCTCATCCAAAACTGTGCAGTTTTACACTTTACAATTAGGATCCCTTTAATATTTGTGGATATTTATAATGCAGTAATACAGATATTATATGTTAAAATATGTGTTTCCTAATCATTATTGTTCTGAACTGTTTCATACACAAACAGATTAGGTTCAGTGTTTGGAAAGAAACCGGACAGTTTAGACTCTTTTTTAACCTTAATTAATGCAAAAATAAACACTTGTTAATAATTGATAAAGTGTTTACAGATGAATTAATAACGTATAAACTTTAAAAGTCATGTATAAGTGGAGCCTTATTGTAAAGTGGTACCGTTGGCCCACAGATCCACCATAAGTCCTGGTATGAATAAAAGGGTTGAATAACCAGGTCAGTTTAAAACAACATTTATGAATATAAAGGTTGAATAACCAGGTCAGGTTAAAATAACATTTATGAATATAAGGATTGAATAACCAGGTCAGGTTAAAATAACATTTATGAATATAAAGGTTGAATAACCAGGTCAGGTTAAAATAACATTTATGAATATAAAGGTTGAATAACCAGGTCAGGTTAAAACAACATTTA